AAAATGGTTAAGACTCTTAGACCAAAAACAGTAAATAAATATTGAACAAAATTCTATTAATTCCACAACTTCTCAAGGTTTCGATTGGAAAACATGTAATTTACTTGTTGCGCTCGAGCAACAATCGCCCGATATCGCCAATGGTGTTCACGTCGATCGTGAAGAAGAAGATTTAGGCGCTGGTGATCAGGTATTGGAAATTAACCAATCAATAATCCTAAAAACGGAATTTGTTTTGTTGTTGTTTAACTGGCTGGCCTATCATACATACTGTTCATTACAAGAAATGACAATAAGAAGAAAGAGAGAAAGATATTGCGTAGAAAATAATTTTATGAAGGGCAAAAAATAATGCATGTCTATATCGAAAATTTTATTAGAAAAGTTAAGAGCATAATATAAAAAAAAAATATATATACATATATATTGCAGACAGCGCGGATCTAGCTGCGCAAAGTGTCCATTAAAGTCCACCAAGTCCGTTCATATTATTTTATGGGCCTATATATTTAAAAAAAAAATCAAAATATAAGAGCACGTTTCCAACTCGGGGGTTTAACACCAAAAATTGCATGAAAGCGCCTTGCTTTCATCTGGGTTAATGTTGTGTTGTCCATTTCGCTGGGGAAATTCCTTACATACATACCACATTACCATAGGGTTATTCATATAAACGCGTAAATGCCTCTTAACGATGTAAACCTCGTAAACTTATTGAATTTTGTATCGAAAATCGGCTTATTTACGAGGTTTACGCGGTTACGAGGCATTTACGCTTTTCCATGAATGCCCATATTAATTTTCATTCCATACATATATCTTTGTAAAATATCGTAGTCATCAATGCAAGAGGTACTAAATGATAAATTTATAACTTTTTAAGAAAATCAAAATACTCTGTGACCTGTATTGAGGCTCTTACTGATTATCTATGTTTTTTATAATATTTATAAAAAAAAATGTCAATTAGTGCCGATTGCATTGATATTAATGATGAACATGAGCAGATTGAGTTATTAGGCGTTGATTTCAGTAACAATAAAATAAATATCAATAATTTTTTTTTAATTTTAATAACAACGCAAATGCGATTAAAGGCCACCATATACTACAGACTCTACCAATAAACCCGCACTCAACTGACGCCTCTGTCTCTGTGGACAGACCCTA